GGCTCCGCACGGCGCCGAGGCTCCTCCCCGAGCCTGGATCTGGATATTTTTGGGAGAGAATCTCTTTTAACTCAGTTCCAGACCCGGGTGCAGGAGGCAAGTTTCCACCCCGGGCAAGGCTGGCGGAGCCCGCGTGCTGGGCGAAGCGAGGCCGGGACTCGCCCACCTCTCTTACAGCCGTCTCGCGTGGTTATTTCGCCCCTCTTTGCCATCGTGGAGGAGAACGGACTTAACGTGGCAGAGGGAATGCTCATTATCTGGATGTGACCGTGACAAGAGAACGTGTGACTGGAGGAGGCTGGAGATGCGGACAAGCATTATTTGAAGAGGAGAATAAACCCGCCACAGCAGCCTCCTCTCTCAACATTGGTGCTGCTACTTCTAGGGTCAATTCCCTTTTATTATTTTTTCCTCCTCCAAATCGAGACAGCTTGCCTTGAAGGCAAGAGACAGCCTCCCTCTACCCATTAGGGGACCTTCGGGCTTTGAAGACCGGTGGATGTAGCGCTGGCGGAATATTGAAACCCGCCTCTGGATAAATCAATCACGATGAATTCAGTAGCTGGGAATAAAGAGAGGCTTGCTGTGTCCACCAGGGGCAAGAAATACGGGGTAAGTTGGGACAGGGACAATGCGGACACGCGCCGGGGGCGATGCCCTCCTGCTGGCCGGTGGCTGCAGTCCGGCTCCGCGGGCGCACGCCGGCCCTTCTCCCGGCCCCCGCGGTCCCCCGGCCGCTGCGCCCCGGCCCCACACCCGCAACTTTTGTAGCATCCATTTACTTCGGAGAAGCTAATTCTGAACGCGAGGGCTTCTCAAGAATTCCTCGCCGTCTCTCGGATCGGCTTCCCTGGAACCTGGAGAGCCTGTCATTTACCATTCTGATCCAGAGGGATGCACCCTGAATAAATAAAAATGCAGGAGGCACAGTCCGGGCGGAGAGGGATCTCCCCGGATCTGGGCCATTTGGGGGGTGGTGGTGCAGAAGCTCATGTGTCCTCTACTTGGGAATCCCGTTTAAAACCCCCGAGCGAGCCCCTTCTCTTCCTGCCCCCAGGAAGGCTCGGCGGGTGCCCAGGAACCGGCGCGGGGTGTGCCCAGGCTGAGGGTTCCCTGAAAGCTGATTATTGAGGCAAATGGAAGGCCAAGAAGGGGTGCCCGGGGGGCGCAGACACCGGGGCTCGGGAACCCCGCAGCCCTGGCAGCTGCTGCAACCGGCGTATCTCCCTGGCAGGTGAATGAAGTCGGCTCGCCCCCCAAATCTGCAGCGCCCTTCTCCCCCGAGAGCTGGTATCGGAAGGCGTATGAGGAGTCGCGCTCGGGGAGTCGCCCCACACCTGAGGGCGCGGGGTCAGCGCTCGGCTCATCGGGGACCCCGTCGCCTGGCTCGGGCACCTCGTCTCCGAGCTCTTTCACTGGTTCCCCAGGCCCCGCCTCCCCGGGCATCGGCACCAGCTCGCCGGGGTCCCTGGGCGGCTCGCCAGGCTTCGGCACCGGCTCCCCGGGCTCGGGCAGCGGCGGTGGCTCCTCCCCCGGCTCGGACCGCGGCGTCTGGTGTGAGAACTGCAACGCCCGCCTGGTGGAGCTCAAGAGGCAGGCGCTGAAGCTGCTCCTCCCGGGACCCTTCCCCGGCAAGGTGAGCGCGGGTGGGGGGCGGGCGCGGGCCCAGCTGGGGGCGCCCTGGTGCACCGCTGACTCCGAGAGCCACGGGACGCGTCCTCCCGGACCAGCAGCCCTGCGTCCGGAGCAAGCCCAGGAGCCCAGATGGCGCGCCCCGGTCTCCTCCACCGCTGATGCGACCCGGTGGTTTGCTGGCAAACCACCCTTTAGAGCGCCCCCTCCGGGCTCTCTGCACCTGCGTGCCCTCCTGGGTCGCCCTGCGCGGCGCTACCACACCCAGGACCTATGGTGGCGCTGGGCCGGCCCGGGGACACGCTGACCTCCCACTCCCGACCCCCATCACAGGGCTGTCACTCGGCTTCTGTCCCCACCCCCACCTGTGATTCTTTGCAAAAACGTGGGCAGAAGCAGGAAAAGCAGTCTGAGATTTAGGACTTGACATTGTCCATTGCTTGTTTGTGGTCTTTCCTTCCCAAGGTTATAGAAACTCCCCCTTGAAAGGTAGTATCTCTCTCCCCCCCCCCCTTTAACATTCTGGCGGTGTGAGAAAGAGGAAGGGGCTGCAGCTCCTCAGAGCAGGGCTACCCTCTGGGCTTGCACACCGGACCCTCCATAGCAACCTTTAAGTCAGGCGCTGGGCTGACCCAGGAACGCCCATTGTGGAAGGATGCAATTGTATTCTCACAGCTGGGTCCAAGTGCTATCAGGTGATAATATTTACTCTTTCACTTCAAAGAGCCTTATCGGTAGAAATAGCAAGAAGACAGCGAATCTCCCTGGAAGTTTCTGCTAGTGTTTGCTCAGTGGAGTTTTCTGGCTTACAATCCTGTGACTTTTGAGATGAAATACTGTGATTTTGAGCAGCGGAATTCGGGAATAAGCGCATCCGCCTGCTTCATCTGCTTATCCAAATACGCACAGATTGCACAACGCAGAGGTCGAGTTAAACAGCTACAGACATTGTAAAATGTGGAGGAATTGCTACCAGTAAAACTGGTTTTCTCAGTTTAGAACTTATCTAAGTAATAATTAATACCTAGTCCATGTGCCAGTTCTATTCTGAATTAATTCATTAGACAACTGTTAAGAATATACTTCAGAGAATCTGAAAGGTTCTTGGACTCTTGTGTGTGCGGGACCCTTCACTTTAACCCTGTTTTTTTCACATTTCTTTGCTGTGATTTCCTGCCACTTTGGAAGTCCTCTGCCAGGCACAAAAGTGGACATGACATTCCTTGCCCACATGAAGCTTGTATTCCAATGGAGGATACAGACATTAACCGTGGAATGCGCGTTTCAGAATTGATAATGTATCTGGCAATCGGAGCAAGTTACAGGGAGCTGTGGTGGCTTGGTCCATAGGGAGCTCACTGTTAACCCAAAGCTGCACGTCTCTAGAAATTCGAATCCACCTGAGGTTCTGAGGGAGAAAGATGGGCAGTCTCCTTCCTTGCTATTTCCAGCCTCGGAAAACTCCCTGAAGGGTCGGAAATGCGTTGATTGGTTCCACGGAAAACAAGAATAAGAAAATGGAAGTAAGGTCCAGGTCATGAAATAATTTTAGAAGATCCTTGAGGCCTCATTTTTTTGAATCAGTTATTAGAGTGACTAGGTTTTTTCCTCCCCAGTTTGAGTTCCCTTTTGTGTGCCAAGGTGAATACAAACATACTCGTACACAAAAAAGGAGAGAAGAAGAAAAGTTATATACAGGGAAGTGACACTCATATTGACGCATGCATCCTTTGTGTTTAATGGGGTCATTTGACAGTGGATTTTTGTTTTGTTGAAGCAGCTTGGAAAATTCACTAACAGGGCAATGAGAGACAGCCTGATGGATTTGCCATTTTTATTCTTTCAGTGAAAATGCAAGTGATACTAAGACACTGCTGATATTGCCAGAGTGAGGAGAGGGCTAGGGGAGCCTTGGCTGTTGCATGTCTTCTCACAGGGATCCCTGCTTGCCTACTGAGGAAATGCCAGTCATGGGGACCACCCTGCCCCCATGTCCTCATGAATGTCACCTGGTTACCTGAGTTCTGTACATGAGATAGGACAGTGAAGCATCACAGGGTAGATGAGGAACTAAGGGTCTTTGGACTAGCTTACTGTCTGAAGACTAGGTGCACAGTTTTAACTATGGATTCTTCTGCATGTTACTGAGACTCATTTGAAATAATTTTAGCCATTTACAAGTTTTATTTGTATGTACAGGTTAGGTACAGTTTCTGTCATCCCTTTAAAACTGACAGTGTTTTAACTGAAAAATACCATGTTCCCTGGTAGATCATGGGCATGGAGCATTTAACCTGAGGGACAAGACTTTTCTTCATTGAGCTGGATTTGTGAGTAAACTGTAGACCTCTGTAGCCTTCAGGCCCACAAGGAGTTAAGTTTCCTTAGAATTAGAGATGCTGTTATGTCTCCATAAAAAAATTTCCCATCAATTAAGAGTTTGATAGAGAAAGACATGTTTTTAAGGGAGAATTAGCATCTTTGTAATGTGCTTATGATATTTGACCATATTGGGAGGAGTACTTTCTGAAGTACTCTTAAGATGTATTTAAAGCCTCATAGGCAAGCATTTAAAAGCCAAAAGCATGATAGAACGTTCAGGAGCCTTATAATTTTAGAGTAGAATTGGGGCTTGGCTATTTCTCTCTCACGAATTGCCTTTGTGACATTGAGTAAATCAGTTTTCCCCTATTTTAGTACTTCCCCATTTCCCTGATAAGAGAAAAATGGAATTCAAACAATACTAAAGTATGGTAAACATTTTTTACAATGAGGATTCAAAAAGTACTTTCATTCTTTAGAGAACTATTTAAGGACCTGTTATTAACTAGATAAGATGCTGTGTTCAACAGGAGTTAGGTTACAAAGCATTACCCTCATTGGAGAGCATTTCTCAAACACCGTATTGCCTTACGGGTTTTCAACACTGCCCCCACTATTTGGTAGTATACCCTACTGAATTTGCCCCAGCTCTGTCCTTGGGACAGTGAAGTGCTAGAGAGAGCCTCTGTGTGGCAGGCATCTGGATGCTTCTAGGAGTCAGTGAGGGGCCTGCAGAAGGACCACTCTGTTCTGAGTATTCTGAGTAGTCATGTGACCACTGGATAGCAGGGCTTTGAGGTTGAGAAGGTAACGACTTGAGGTTGTGTTCTTGGGCCAGTGCCCAGCAGTGGGCAGTGGTGGTGTTACCTAAGGCAGACAAAAGGGAAGACACAGATGTGAGTGGAGTTCAGAGGGAAGGACAGAAATAGATTTGGGTTTTCATGCATTGGGTGAAGTTTCTAGAAAGAAATTGATGGTGGAGGCTGGTTTAGGAACAAAGCACGTTATGTTGTTGGCTCTGTGAAGACACTGGAATGTGGCAGTGACAATGGCGAGTTAGCAGCACTCAGGGTTGATCCTTTCAAATACACTCACCTGGCTGAGGAGAGATGTGTGCATGGTGACGGGCTATAAAACATTCTGATTGACTTTTACTACTTCACGTGGTAAAAAAAAAGCTTACTGGGTTTATAGCATTTCTTTGCCAGTGCTGGTAAGTGGAAACAGATAAAACAGAAAGAGTGTGGACTTGTAAAGTTATGGGTTGTAAGAGAAAGTGCTCTCTTTACACCCTGCAGTCTTCCGATGTAGAAATTTCCAGTGGTAAGATCATCTTTCCTGTGTTATGGACAGAGATGGCGCTGGGTCAGGAGTACCTCTTAGGGAATCAGGGAATAAATCCTTATTTTGGGATGATTCTAGATCAATCTGCTATGTGAGACAAAACTTTGGGAATGACAGTGTAAGCGCTTCTGCATGTCAGCCCGAAGAAATTCCAGCAGCTGGTAGAGGGGTCATCATCAGATGTTGGCCATTGCCACCACAAGAAGAGAAAGCCTTCCTTCATATTGAGAAAGAGCCATAACTGTGTCCCATTCTGCCTTTTCCTCAGTCCCATATTCTATTTGTCAAAGTCCCAGAATTGTCAGGGGTATTAACCAGACATGGGGTGGCCTGGGAATCACAGATGAAGCAAAGGAATGTGTTACGGGACTTAGCAAACGCCAAACGTGGTCTCTAAATAGCCAGAGCTCAAGTAAGTCTAGACTTCAAAAACTTTTATATATTCTCCCACTCTCTGATTGGCTCCAAAACAGGAGCATGAGGAAAAACCCCCAAGCATCACCCACAAAACAAACCTACTCACAAGCTCCCCCTATTATCACATGTGAGACATTTGATAACTATAGAAGATGGAGAGTGCATTTCAGTATGTCTTAATTTTGAGAGAACTCCAGCTGACATCTTCCACAAATATGTCACTGTTTTAAAAAGTCTTTATTTTGTTTCTGTAATGCTACTTGTTCTTTCTTTGGGACATTTGTGATTTAGTTTCTTACCATTTGGGGAGTGTATTAAAGGATTGGATAATAAATATCAATAATGGCAAGGCTTTCCTGCAGCATTGATCATTGAAAAACATGGGAAGCAACGTCAAAGTCCTTGAAGTCCTTGAAGCCCAGATGTGTGCGAGCCCTGACCATGTCCTCTAAGAAGCTGTGGAATGATAATATAAGCTATGGAATAATAGCATTGCTTTCTACCAGACATTTAATTTTGAACAAACATGGTCAGTGTTTATTATAACTTAATTCACTTTACAAAAATCCCTGGCCTGTAATAAGTTCTTCTACACTCATTGCAGAGGAGATTATTGCATTAGAAATGTGATTTTTTAAATGGCTGAGGGTAGTAATTTGTCACCATTTGGAAGGATTAAGTCAATTAAAATTTAAGCTACATCAGTTGTGCTTTGGCATGACATCACAGACCATACCATTCATTAGCTATTAATATCGGTGATAATAAATGGCTACCAATTATAGTTCTTATTTTGTGCTTATGCTACAATATACGCCCATATATACACAGAGCATCCCTCCCATATGGAAAAGTGAAGATGAAAGTAACTTCTTTTCTTTACTCTGACATTTTATATAATTGATACATGTGGTTAAGGTC